ATTGACTCTAATCTTCTCTCACAATTAATTGAAAATTTGTCCCTTCTCAGAAATCTCCATGAGGTTACCCAGTCCTGCCTGACATGCCCCAGGGCATCAGAACACTGCCTTTTAAGGTTAGACTGGACAGGACTGGGGGACTAATTTCACCCACAAGACACCCATAAAAAAGACCAAATATTTACTGGTTATGGTAGAGACATTATTGAGATGGGTAGAGGCTTTTCCATGAATATCTAAAGAGGCTGATTTGCTGATGAATTGAAGCCATATCTGGGTGCCTATGTCTTCACCGACCCAACTGTATGTGTTACCTGTCTGTAAGCCTGTCTGCCTGCTTCTGGAGCCCCAAATGTGCCACCATTTGCCTGGGTACCTACTAGCATCTGCCTGTGGTTCATGTGCTGATGAACAAAGTATGTCACATCAGCCTAAATAAATGAACCAGGGACAGGGGTAAGATGGGAGGAAGAAAGAGAGAGAGAGAGAGAGAGAGAGAGAGAGAGAGAGAGAACATAGAGATGAAATAGGGGCTGGAGAGGTGGCTCAGTGATTAACAGCACTTGCGGCTCTCGCAGAGAACCTGAGTTCCATTCGACTTCATGGCAGCTCAAAACCATAACTTTAGTTCCAGGGGATCCAACACTTTTTTGGCCTCTGTGGGTACCAGGAACACACAAAGTGCATCATACATGCATGTAGGTAAAACCTTAGAGATAAAATTTAAAAATTAAAATGAAAACATTTAAAAATGGAAAGCAGACTATTGGGAGGGAAGGGATCATTGATGTGAGTAGAAAAAAGACAAGAGAAGATATTGGGGGAGAATGTGATTATAAACATGACAGACATGTACAAAGTGTCATAATGAAACATTAGTGAGTCATATTTATTTTTATGAAGAAGGGGAATGAGGAAAGCACATGGGCCTATTCATACACAGTGTAATCATGTGTTATTAGACAATTTGGTCATGATTTTATAGAACCATAAAAAGTTAATACTTTGACTGACTACAAAGATGCTTAGTGCTATATACTTTTATGATATCTGTTTATGAACAGAAAAGCGATTTGTGAGATCATTAATTTTATGGCATATAAAATCTCATCAATAACCATAAAAAACTATAATAAAAAACAAATAAGTGGTCAGAGTTGCAGTGAGTCTAACTGAAACAGTCATGGCTTCACCGGGATAGGTATGTATAGACTTAAGGTCACCAATGTAACAGAGGATAAACGGGCCAAAAAAGAAATCAGAGAAACATCACCCTTCACAATAGCCACAAATAACATAAAATACCTTGGGGTAATGCTATCCAAACAAATCAAAGACCTATATGACAAGAACTTTAAAACTTTGGAGAAAGAAATTAAAGAAGACAGCAGAAAATGGAAAGATCTCCCATGCTCTTGAGTAGGTAGAATTAACATATTAAAAATGGCAATCTTACCAAAAGCATTCTTTTGCATTGAATAGATTCAATGCAATGCCCATCAAAATTCTATCAAAATTCTTCACAGATCTTGGAAGAATAATACTAAACTTCATATGGGAAACAAAAACCTCAGGATAACCAAAACAGTCCTGTACAACAAAAGAACTTATGGAGGCATCATAGTCCCGAACTTCAAACTATAAAGCTTCGGTAATGAAAACAGACAGAAGTACAAATGGAATATAATCCAAGAACTGGATTTCAATCCACCTACCTACAAAATGTTGATTTTGACAAAGAAACTAACAACAGAAAATGGAAAATAGAAAAGATATTAAAAAAAATTGTGCTGGTATAACCGGATATCAACATGCAGGAGAATTCAAATAGATTCGTCTTTATAGCCATACAAAACTCAAAGTCCAAATGGATCAAAGGCCTCAACATAAGACCAACCACATTGAACCTCACAGAAGAGAAAGTGAGAAGTGCACTTGAACGCATTGGCATAGGAGACCACTTCCTAAATATAATCCCAGTAAGCACAGTTACTGGAAGCAACAATTCATAAATGGAGACTCTGGAAACTGAAAAGCTTCTGTAAAGCAAAGAACACAGTCAACAAGACAAAATGGCAGACTACAGACTGGGAAAAGATCTTCATCAACCCAACATCTGCATAGGACTGATCTCCAGAATATACAAAGATGTAGCGGCGTAAACGAATGCAGACAGATTGTAAAAATATATATAGTTTTAATGTAGAAATAGACTTACAGAACCACCGTTCCTGCGGAGACCAGGAAAGCAGAAGAGACAGCTGGGAGCACGCTAGCCAAATTTATAGGCAGACATTAGCCCCAGGCGAACACGCCCCCTAAGGGGCGGGACTTATCCCTACATCTCCCCTTTTTGTCTAAATAAGACAGAACTAAACCAAATACAACTACATACAATAACAACAAATAATAAATATAACAAACAATATTGAGAACAAAAGCTTTGCTAAACATTCTATCTCAAGGAGTTCAAATAATGTAAAGAGTAACTACAATTATATAATCTTCAACTCCGTCAAAGATCTGAGAAGGGAATAAACACTACTCAACAAACGAGATATATCCAAAATGTGCAACAATTGACAGAGACAACTGACTACCTGGGCAATCACCCAAAGTCTCGTTTGCAATGTTGAGTCAACCAATTTTGGCTAAGGCCTAACATAACTGACATACCATTATTAAAGGCAAGGAACTTTTCAAAACTATCTTACCCTGTCTTGGCAGGATATGACAGTCCTGTTTTATCCATTGATGCACGCTCTGTATCTCTGTCAGTGGTTGAGGTATGGGCATTTCTTTGTCCAAAGGCCAGTTCTGCCAAATAGAAAGGCTCCAGATGGAGTGTCTTTGGTGCTCAACATTTTCTCGGGAATAGAGCGGTGTTGCCAGGAGCAATTGTGTCTCACTATCACGAAACTCTGAGTTAGATTAAAGGCCATTTTCTACAGCTCTTTGAAGAGGTTGAAGATTATCTATCTATACTGAGTATAATCTCTATATATCTAAAGAACCTGATTAGTCTAATTATAAAAGACAAACTTAGATGACTATTTATCTATATAATTCTCAATATCTATCTAACTTAAAGACTAAGACAATAAACAACTGTGTAACAAATGGGGATAATGACCTCCAAATATAAACACTGTACAAATATACATTGCAATATGGTAAATATATATCAATACACAAACATTATATAAGTATCTTAATCAGAGGTAGAAATGTACACTGCAATATGGTAAATATATACAATATATATTTATCAATACAATATATGTCAATACATAAAAAATGTTTTAAACAGAGATAGAAACATTCATGCATACAATAGTCAATATAATTTAACTTTGTATCAATATACAAGAATCTATACCAATATATTTGTCTAAAAGCAGTAACTCACAATTATAAATCTATTATCCCATCATTCCCTCTTTTTTTTTGTAAAAATATATATAGTTTTAATGTAGAAATAGACTTACAGAACCACCGTTCCCGCGGAGACCAGGAAAGCAGAAGAGACAGCTCGGAGCACGCTCGCCAAATTTATAGGCAGACATTAGCCCGAGGTGAACACGCTCCCTAAGGGGCGGGACTTATCCCTACACAAAGAACTCAAGAAATTTGACACAGAAAGAACAAATAATACAATAAAAATGGGGTACAGACATAAACAGAGAACTGTCAACAGCAAAATCTCAATGGGCTAAAAGACACTTAAGAAAATGGCCAACACCCTTAGCCATCAGAGAAATGCAAATCAAAACAACTCTGAGATTCCATCTTACACTGTCAGAATGGCCAATATCAAAAACACTGATGACAACTTATGGTGGAGAGGTTGTGGGTAAGGTGAACGCTCCTCCGTTGCTGGTGGGAGTGCACAATTATATATCTGCTTTGGAAATCAGTATGGCAATTTCTCCAAAGATTAGGAACCAACTACCTCAAGACCCAGCAATACTGCTTTGGGGTATATACCTAAAAGACAATCATTCCACAAGGACATGTGCTCATCTATGTTCATAGTAGCATTCATTGTAATAACCAGAACCTGCAAACAACCTAGATGTCCCTCAACTAAAGAATGGATAAAGAAAATGTGGTACAATTACACAATAGAATACTACACAGTGGTGAAAAAAAATTACATCTTGAAATTTGTTTGCAAATGGATGGATCTAGAAAAAAACATGTTGAGTGATGTAAACCAAACCCAGAAAGACAAATATATCATGTATTCACTCATAAGTGACTCTTAGACATCAAGCAACGAAAAAACCAGCCTACAGACCACAACCCCAGAGAGACTAGACAACAAAGAGGACCCTAAGAGAGACATACATGAATATATATAGGAAGAGAGGAGAGTGGAAAATAATATATAGCTCAATAAAAACCATAAAAATAGATGATCACTGTAAGGGAGGAGAGACCTGAATGCAGACTCTGTGAATTATGACTCAAGAAAGCAAGAAGTTTAGAAGAACAGGGTGTGTCGAGGGCACCCTGGGCTTGCTCCTGCTCTTCCTTTATCAAGAGGACAATTCCCAAGTATTCATTCCACTCATCTATGGGAATATCACAGTACAAACCTCCTTAGAAAAGAAACCATAACTTCCATAGCTTTCTGTTTTTTGCTCTCTGTCCCACACCTACACAGGACCTGTGACTCCAAAGACAGTACACATGGTGACCCCAGGTTTGAGGTGACGGTTGCTGGTATCAGAATAATTAGCTTCTGAAGCTATGTTGTGCCTTGCAATGAAATTATAAAAGGAAGTCACATCGCAGAAAAGCATTTGCCCCACCTGCTGAACCCTGGTTCCTACCAGTTCTGCTTAGTTGCAGCTCTCCTGCAACTTTGCCCCGCCCAACAAGCTCCCGCCTATAAATCTTAGGGTTCAAATAATTGTCCAGGCAGAGCCCACATATTCTACTTCCTGCACACAGTGCATCCCATAACAGCACAGACTCAGGCCTCAGAGCTGATCATGCCGTCCTGCAAACTTCGTGGTTGGCTGATTGCTGGAGCCTGTGCACTTCTGTTAATTGCTGTAGCCTGTGGGCTTGTGTTTCTTCTCCGCGCGCACGGTGAGACTCCTTACGTGGGTGGTGGGGGCCAGAGTTGCCAATTTTGGCAGAGGCAGAGGCTGAGGCTGTGGTAGGAAAGGTAGCAAGGGCGGAGGAGTAGGTAGAGACGACAGAGTGGAAAAGTGGCCCCTATAGCCCAGAGAGTCAGTGATGTCTGAGGACACTCAATAGAACAGAGGGCTACTCTGCCAAGCCTGGGCTTGAAAGTCAGAAGGAAGAGTGTTGGGGACAGAGAGCCAGATGGGCCATGTCCCCTTTCTGTATAGGGTTGTGCCTGTGGCTGGAGCTCTTACTGACCCATTGGTAATAATAAAATAAATTACACCTTCCTACTAGCATTGAACTCCAAATGGGTCACCCTCTCGGACAGAGAAGCATCACGATATTCTCCAAACAATCCTAGGAAATTTTCCTGGCCCTCAGTCATACAGTTCTCCAGCCCTACAAGAGTTGCCCAACTGAGAGGCTCATATTCCCTTCCCATTCTCTGACCTTTGGAAAAGGTACAATTTGGAGTCCGAGGCAAAGGGAATGTGCTCTGTCTTCAGGTTTATGAATAGGTGAGCCAGGAGGGTACTGTGCCTGGCATCAGTGTGCAGCCCTGAGGCCTCCTGCCAAAAAGCATTCAAGCCTGAGTCATGCTGACCTCCTGCTAGGCCTCCTCAATCAGATTTACCCTAAGGAGGCCATAAAGACCTCACTGTGACTCTTCCCTGCTGTTGTCCAGATTCTGAGATATCACCAGGACTCCTGGACGGGAAGATCTGCCCAACTCACTCTTGGCTTATTTGAACATTCTTCTTTGGATCCTGGGTTCAGAATCACTGATAACTATAAGAGGGCACAGAGTTGTGCACCACCAAGGCCAGGCTCATCCATGGGACATCAAGATAAGATGGGAGTGAGCTGGTGTAATGGCACACACCTGTAAATGGTGTTCTAGATGAGACAGAGAAAGTGGAAGGCTTTTCAGCTGCAAGCCAGCCTGGGCTACACTGCAAGAACTTGTCTGGTGGGGTGGTAAATGTAGAAATGTTAAAACAGAATACCACAGCAATTTCAGCATCGGTAATAATTAAGATGAGGTGGATATCTGGAAGTAAACTTGGCCAGCAATGCTTACCATAGCAAAATCAGGCATTTAAAGTATCACATAAACGGTTAAACGGCAGTCTCATCAATGGTGACTTGGTTTTAAGTATGACATAGATGACATTAGTTTATTTAATTACAGGAAAATTTTTGTAACTTTTTTTAAACTTTTCATAGGCCTCCTTTTTCCACGTACAGCCGTTATAAAGACACAGTAACTCTTGAGAAGGTGACACGTGTAATTAGAGATGTGTTATCCTTTCCCCACATGCCACTCAAAATCAGAATCTCTACTTAGCTGGGTGGTGGTGGTGCATCCTTATAATCTCAGCACTTGGGAGGCAGAGGCAGGTGAATCTTTGTGAGTTCAAGGCCAGCCTACTCTACAAAGCAAGTTTTCAGACTGTCAGAGATTTTACACAGAAAAACCTTGTTTAGAAAAACCAGGGGAAAAAAAGATAAAAAAAAGAATCTCTCCTTAATAAACTTCAATGCTTCATTTTTAAATAAAAAGGAAAATGTATGCATAGTTTTCTTTTTAAACAAATTTACCACAAACCGTCCCTTTCTGGGCTATTTTCCTGCCTCCTGACTGAAAGTACACGCACTCCAATATGTGGGATTCCATGGTGAGCTTTTCTTGGGGGTGAAGCATCCTGGCTGTAGCCTGACTCTTAGCAAACCCATTTCAGCAGGTTTTGCCTGTTGCTGTAGCAGTGACAGATTCTAGTGACCCATGTCATCAGTGATCTATATAAGCAGATATGGTTTGTGGCATACTGTCCTGCAGACAGTGTGTCCCTGGAGATAGGAGTGAGTTTTCACCACTGGAAAGATTTTGGCAAATGGCCTTCTGGCCCCTGAGAGTGCTTGTTGCCTTGGCTACTTGTTACCACATCAAGTAGCACCAAACATGCCATCCATGTTTATCAGGTGTGGAAGATTTTTACTCTTTATGGAAATAAAACAGGTGTAGTAAGAGACCACTTGTTCATTCCTGGATGCTCAGCCCTGAAACAACCACATAAAGAGACCATATTATTTGCAATAGTATTTGTCCAGTAGCTTAAGCACATTTTTAGCTAACTCATATCCTAAACTAACCCATTTCTATTACTCTGTGAATCACCAGTGGCGATGTCTTACCACCAAGGTTCCAACTGGCAGCTCATGTCTTTCCCCTCTGGTGGCTCCATGGTGTCTCCTTGACACTATCCTCTTTCTCCCAGCATTCAGTTCAGCTTTCCCCACCTACCTCTATTCTGCCCTGCACATGCCAAAGACAGTCCTTTATTAACCGGTGGTATTCATAGCATACTGAGGGGAATCCCACATCAGACAGGTCTGCCAAATTCTTCCACACTGGAACATGGTGCTGTGGAGACAAGTTGCCAGGGAGGTGGGTACGTGGAGAAGGCTGAACTGAAGAAAGCAAGAAAGAAGTAACATCCATAGTGTGAAGGGAGATGGTTGGGCAAACCCAACCTTGATATCGCATGTCACTTACAGGTGAAGACTCAGCCAACCCCATCAGGACTACCCACACGGGACAGGTGCAGGGAAGTCTTATCCATTTGAATGACACCAAAGAGGGTGTCTACATCTTCCTGGGAATTCCCTTTGCCAAGCCACCTCTAGGAGAGCTGAGATTTGCACCTCCTGAGCCTCCTGAATCATGGAGTGGTGTGAGGGATGGGACCACCTACCCGGCCAGGTAAGTCCTCCTGAGACCCAGAAAATGTCAGGTCCTGAAATGGGCAGGAGCTCAGAACCTGACCAGACTGTAGTGCTTTCTCCATCTCCAGCCCTCCATTGCATTCTCTCTGTGATGGGATATGCTGCAGATGCCAGAGAAAGGCCAAAGTGATAATGGTTCCTTAGCAAAATCACCCTCCACAATCACTGTACCAACCTATAGGAGTCCAGGTACCATTGGCCAAGAGACAAGTATATGTCTTCCAACTAGAGATTCTTCAAGAGAAGACAGATCCTTGAGAGTCTGGATGTGAGGTGAAGGATGTCCCACCAACCATGTTTATCAATGCAGCACCTATATGGGTACAGGACACAATACCCAGACTTTGGAGAGTACAAAAAGAAATGGTGTCATTACACACACCAATAGTTTTCACAGAAGTTCATCAATATCCCATCATCAGGAAGAGTGCGATCCAAAGACCCATCTGGCAGTCTCCCTAGAAGTTTTCCCAAAGTCTGTGACATTTACCTGATTTGGAAGAGCTTTTGGAGTAGGACCTCATGTTATCAGGACATCATGGGGCCAGAAAGAGGGGTTTTTGTGGCTGAGATAAAATATGTGCTAGGCGTCTGCTTTTAATTTTAACTACCGCACATCTCTTAGAATAACTGTCATTGTCCTCAGGTGTCTACAAAATTCTGGGACAGTGGTTTCAGAAAATCTGGCAATGATAAAACGGAGCATACCTTCCATCTCGACATCTGAGGACTGCCTGTATCTCAACATCTACACACCAGCTCATGCCCGTGAGGGCTCCAAACTGCCTGTGAGTGGAAGCCATACTCAGATCTGGGGGTGGGCATTTCTTCGGGATGATTAAAAGGGGGCAAAATCAATGTGAGACTCTGATGAGAAACCCTCCCTATCAGGTATCCAGGAAGGCCTTCTCTGCCATGCAGCTAAACCCTAGGTATGGGACACAGAGACCTAAATACTCTGGGAAGTCAGTGGCTATGGCTCCTTGATCAACTCAGGTTTCACACTACCTACCAGAGGCCTGAGAGCTAAATCCTAAGCTCTTGCAAATTTATTGGCATGGACTATCCATTGTGTCAATGATTTTTTTTCTCTTGTTTTGAGAAAGGGTCTCTCTATATAACCCTGGCTGACTCATTATGTAGACAAGGCTGGTCTCAATCTTTGATCTCTGCCTCCAGAGATATGGTAATTCTTTAGTTGATAATAGATCCTCTATCATATATTAACTCTTCTTTGAAAGTCTGGTATAATTCTTCGATAAAAGCCATCTGCCCCTGTGGTTTTTATTTTTTTTTTTAGTTGGGAAAATTTTAATGACTACTATTTCACTGGGGGTTATAGGTATATTTAAATTGTTTTTCCGATTGTGATTTAACTTTGGTAAGTGATACCTATTGAGAAAATTATCCATTTCATTTAGATTTTCTAATGTGGTGAAGTATAGGTTTTGAAAGCATGTCTTATAGATTTCTTTGGTGTCTGTTGTTATGGCCCCCTTTCAAATTTTATTAATTTGATTATTCTGATTTTATGGTTTTTTTCTTTGTATGTTTATTTATATAATGAATTACACGGATAGATTTTGGTTGTTGAACCAGTCCTGCATCTCTGGGATGAAGCCTGCTTGATCATGACGGATGATTTTTTTTATGTGTTTTTGGATTTGGTGTGCCAGTATTTTGTTGAGAATTTTTGCATCGATGTTCATGGGTGAGATTGGTTTGTAATTCTCTTTCTTGGTTGTGTCTTTGTGCGGTTTCAGTATCAGGGTAACTAGAGCCTCATAAAACGAGTTTGGCAATGTCCCTTCTTCTTCTATTATGTGGAACACTTGGAGGATTATAGGTATTAGCTTTTCTTGGAAATTCTGGTAGAATTCTGTACTAATGTCATCCAGCTCTGGGCTTTTTTTTGGGGGGGGCGGCTTTTGATGACAGCTTTTAGTTCCTCACAGCTTATAGGTCTATTTAAATTGCTAACCTGATCTTGATTTAATTTTGGTTTATGGTATCTATCTGAAAAATTGTCCATTTTTTTTACACTTTCCAATTTGTGTAGTGCAAGTTTTTGTAGTAAGACCTGATGATTCTCTGAATTTCCTCAGTGTCTGTTGTTATGTCCCCCTTTTCATTTCTGATTTTGTTAATTTGGATTCTCTCTCTCTCTCTCTCTCTCTCTCTCTCTCTCTCTCTGCCTTTTGATTAGTTTGGTTAAGGGTTTGTCAATCTTGTTGGTTTTCTCAAAGAACCAACTCTTTGTTTCATTGATTCTTTGTTTTTATTTTGTTGATGTTAGCCCTCAATTTGATTATTTCCTGTCTTCTACTCCTCCTGGGTGAGTCTGCTTCTTCTTTTTTTTTTCTTTTTTTATTGAGAAAAGGAGAAAAAAAAAACAAGTTTCCACCTCCTCCCAGCCTCCCATTTCCCTCCCCTCCTCCCCCCCTAAGCCCCCTCCTCCCACCCTTCTCCCCCTCCCCCACTCCTTTCCCCCTCCCTCTCCAGTCCAAAGAGCAGTCAGGGTTTTCTGCCCTGTGGTAAGACCTAGGACCTCCCACCTCCATCCATAACTAGGAAGGTGAACATCCAAACTGGCTGGGCTCCCACAAAGCCATCACATTACATAGGATCAAACCCCCATGCCATTGTCCTTTGCGTTTCATCAGCCCTCATTGTTCGCCATGTTCAGAGAGTCCAGTTTTATCCCATGCTTTTTCAGTCACAGTCCAGCTGGTCTTGGTGAGCTCTCAATAGATCAGCTCCACTGTCTCAGTGGGTGGGTGCATCCCTCGTGGTCCCGACTTCTTTGCTCATGTTCTCCCTCCTTCTGCTCCTCATTGGGACTTTGGGAGCTCTGTCCAGTGCTCCAGTGTGGGTCTCTGTCTCTATCTCCATCCATCACCAGATGAAGATTCTATGATGATATGCAAGATATTCGTCAGTATTGCTCAAGGATAGGGTCATTTCAGGTTCCCTATTCTCAACTGCCCAAGGAACTAACTGGGGACCTCAGCTTGGGCACCTGGGAGCCCCTCTAGGGTCAGGTCTCTTGCCAACCCTAAAGTGGTTCCCTTAACTAAGAATTGTGGTTCCGTGCTCCCCTGTCCAACCTTCCTTTATCCCAATCCTCCTGCTTTCCCAAGTCCCGACCTCCTTCCCTTCTAACTTTTCTCTCCCCATCTCCCCTTACCCCCAACCCACCCCACCCCAAGATCCCAATTTTCTCCCCTGGCCTGGAGGGATGGCTCAGCCGTTAAAGGCTAGGCTCACAACCAAAAATATAAGAGTCTGCTTCTTTTTGTTCAAGAGCTTTCAGGTGTGCTGTTAAGTCACTTAAGTGAGCCTTTTCTGTTTTCTTTATGTGGGCACTTAGTTCCTTCAAATGAGGCCAGCAGTCTCTTTGTGTCTTGGCCCAATCCTTGCAGTGGCTGTCTGAATATTTGGGAGTTTTTCTTGGTCTACTCTGCATTGTCAATGTCTGTTTCAGAAAGCCTCTGAGGTCTCTATACACCAGATCTCTTGGTCTTCTCTCCTAGTTTGCTCTCTTGGTGCTCTCTTAATCCCATCAGTGTTGTGGCATGCTCTTGATCCCCTCAGTATCATAGCAAGCTCTTAGCTCTTAGGTGGGGCTCCAGTGGATGGCTTTGGGCTTTGGGGGATCCTAACCACAGGAAACTTTGTACTGGCTGGCTAAAAAAGCCAAGGGAGTTGGGGAAGGGGGCTGGGGCATTGTCCTTCTGGGAAGGTCCTAGTGAGTGGGGTATCTTGCCATGTAGCCGTTCACTCACCTCTTAGGTCTCCTCAGTATTGGAGCAAGCTGTGTTTCAGAGTTCCATTGAGATTGCTGCCGAATATCAGTTATATTAATTTGGCTGATAAAATCAATTAGCTCTAGTATTTCTCTGTTTAGTTTCTGCCTGGATGACCTGTCCATTGGTGAGAATAGGGTATTGAAGTCTCCCACTATTATTGTGTCAGGGTCAATATGTGATTTAAGGTCTAATAGTGTTTCTTTTACAAAAATGGGTACTCCTGTGTTTGGGATAGATGTTAAGAATTGAAATGTCATCTTGGTGTATTTTTTCTTGTGATGAATATGTAGTATCTTTTCCTAATACTTTTGATTAATTTTATTAAATATGAAAATGACTACACAAGATTGCTTCTTGGGTTTGTTTACTTAGAATATCCTTTTTCAACCTTTTACCCTGAGCTAATGTCTACTCCTGATATTGAGGTGTATTTCTTGTATGCAGCAGAAGGATGGATCCTGTGTTTGTAACCATTCTGGTAATCTGTATTGGGGAATTGAGTCCACTGATATCAAGAGATATTAATGATCAATGATTGTTAATTCCTGTTACTTTATTGTTGTTGTTGTTGCTGCTGCTGATGCTGGTGTGTATGTTCCATTCTTTTAGTGTTACTAGTGTGAGTGTATTTATTGCTTATGTTTCCATGTGTGTAATTAACCTTAGTTTAGAGTTTTCCTTCTAGTACCTTCTTTATGGCTGATTTGCATCTAGATATTGTTTAAATTTAATTTTATAATGGAATGTCTTAAGATGATTGAAAGTTTTGCTGGGTATAGTAATCTTGGCTGGCACCTGTGGTCTCTTAGAATCTCCTGCACATCTGTCCAAGACTTTCTGTCTTTTAGAGTCTCCATTGAGAAGTCAGGTGTAAATCTAATAGTTCCGCCTTATATGTTACTTGATCTTTCTCCCTTAAAGTTGTTAATATTCTTCCTTTGTTCCATATGTCTAGTGTTTTGATTATTATGTGCTGAGGGGACTTTTCTGGTCCAATCTATTTGGTGTTCGGTTTGCCTTTTGTACCTGTATATGCATTTCCCTCTTTAAGTTAGGAAAATTTTCTTCTATGGTTTAGTTGAAGATATTTTCTAGACCTTTGAACTATTTCTATTCTTCTCCTTCCTCTATTCCTATTATTCATAGATTTGTTCTTTTCACAGTGTCCAGATTTCTTGGATGTTTTGTGTCAAAATTTTTTTCAGATCTACATTTTCTATGGCCAATGTATTTATTTCTTCTATTGTATCTTCAAAGTCTGAAATTTTCTCTTCCATCTCTTGTGTTCTGTTGGTGAAGTTTGCCTCTGTAGTTCCTGCTCACTTCTCACTCCCAGGATTCCCTTGGTTTGTGTTTTCTTTATTGTTTCTATAACCATTTTAGTGTCTTGAACAGTTTTATTTCTTTCCTTCAACTATTTTTATTTTCTTTAAGGGATTTATTAATTTGCTCTTTAAGGACCTCTTTCATCTTCATATTAAAGTCTTTTTCAGTTATGTGGGAATATTTAAAACCTGCTGTGGTAGGATAGCTGGGCTCTGTTGGAGACATATTGCCTTGCCTGTTATTTACTGTGTTCTTATGCTGGTATCTAGCCATCTGAGTTGGGGGTGACTATAGGTCTAGGTGTTGTTTTCTGGGTTTCTCTTTGTTTTTGTGAGTTTAGTTACTTAATTTCTGTTTCCTCTCTGGATTTTTAGAAAGTATGTTGCCTGCTCGGTCAGTGTGTTCCCTGAGAATGCTGGGAGGAGAGGAGAGGTTCTATTGCAGTGCTAGGGGTGACCCTGAGAATTGGGTCTGGGGGAACAGAGAGTGGGGAAGGTCCACAGGCAGCCTACCTGGTCCCAGAGCTCTGGTATTAAAGGTATACATCACCATGACCAGCTATGTGCCAATGATTTTTTGTTAATAATCAGGAGAATCACTGATGAATATACCTGTTTTCATTCCATTTAATAGGGTCTGAGAGCAGGGGTGTTATTACTCCAGATTTAGAGCCATTAATTCAGGCTTGGGTCCTTAGAGAAGCAGAGAGACTAGCAAGTATCCTGATGGTACTAGAGCCCTATCTGTGGTCCAGGTGAGGATGTCCTGAGGAGTTTTGTCTGTGTGTCTAAGTACACTGAGCCAAAGCATTAGGTAAAGTAGAGACATCCCAGGTGGAGCTTGAGCTGGGTGGGAACCTCCTGGCATCTGACTTGATTTCCACAGGTAATGGTGTGGATCCATGGGGGTGCACTGGTTGGGGGTATGGCTTCTGCGTACGATGGATCCTTGATGGCAGCCAGGGAGGATGTTGTGGTGGTCACTATCCAGTACCGCCTGGGTGTTCTGGGCTTCTTCAGGTGAGTCTGGGGCTACCCTGCACTGTAAGGTAGAGGATGAAAGAAAATAAGACAGCCCTGTGATTCCTTCTCTGTGTCTTCATAGCACTGGAGATGAGCACGCCAGAGGGAACTGGGGCTACCTGGACCAAGTGGCCGCGCTGCGCTGGGTCAGGAAGAACATCGCCCACTTTGGAGGCAACCCTGACCTTGTCACCATCTTTGGCGAGTCTGCAGGTGGCACAAGTGTGTCTTCACAGGTTGTGTCCCCCATGTCAAAGGGACTCTTCCACAGAGCCATCATGGAGAGTGGAGTAGCCCTGCTGCCTGACCTGATCTCTAACACCTCTGAGGTGGTCTACACAGTGAGTCACTTCAGCCATTGATGACCCTGCAGCCTCAGCCTCCACCCTCTGATACTCTGGGAGTTTTCTCAATTGGGAAAACAAGGGGTGTGGGAAATAGTTTCTTTCAGTACTTTCTGAGAGATTCAAGGGTAGGAATCCATTTCTCTCTATACAGGCTGGGTGTAATAATCATGTATAAGTACCTTGTAGTGTCCATCATATTCAGAAACAAATACATATGGGTTGAAGATATGGCTCAATAGGTAAAAACATAAGGACCTGAGTCCAAATTCCCTCAGAAACCAGAAAAAGCTGCATGGAGAAACAAGTGTGTGATCCTGGTATTCATAGGATGAGGTAAGAGGCAGAGACCAGAAAATCCCTGAAAGGTCACAAATAAGAGACTCTTGTAGGCAGGAAGAAATAAGAAAAGATCATTTCTCAAATAAGATGGGAAGTGAGGACTAGCAACCAGATGGTGTCCTTGAATCTTTGCATGGAAACCATGGTACAGGCATTCCTGAAGTCACACGCACTCGTGGACAAACACACATAGCTTACGCTTTAAAGTCTTTAGGTAGAATGACCCTTCTGGCTGTCACATCTGAGCAACAAGAAAATGGGAATTTCATACTTACTCTATTTCACCAGCACAAAAAGTGTGATGTGATATTTGGGCACTATGCCAATCAACTGGGGTTGGGAAAACGCCTCTACTTGCCTGAAAGGATGGATCAACTCCTGCCTGATCCCTTTACAGAAAGTGGCCAGCTTATCTGGTTGTGAGACTGTGGACTCAGGGACCCTGGTGCACTGTCTGAGAAACAAGAGTGAAGAGGAGATTCTGGCTATTAACAAGGTTGGGAGAGTTGTGTGACTTGGAGGACCTGGTCAGTGGGATGTGGGAGAGTCAGTCCTTACTACTCTAAACAAATTACCTCTGCTCCATGGTTTGGCATCCTCTTAATCACGTGTGCAAAATAAATACCAAATATCCTAATATATGTAGAATCTCTGTCAAGGGTGGAGAAACATCCTGAGACAATTAAATAGGGGTAGGGGTAATGGTCAGGGTTTCTCAGTGGACATCAGAATTGACCTCCATCACTGACCTTGGATGTCCCTCAGGTCTTCACTCATATCCCTGCTGTGGTGGATGGAGAGTTCCTACCCAGGCATCCCCAAGAGTTGTTGACTTCTGCGGATTTTCACCCTGTCCCCAGCATCATTGGTGTCAACAATGATGAGTTTGGCTGGGGTCTCCCTATGGTGAGGCACAGTTCCAATTCTCTGAAAGTCTGGGGACTCATAAGATGAGCAGTGAAAACTTAATCCATATCCAGCTGACAATATACTGAAAACTGTCCTCTCTTTCTTGCAGATGTTGGGGGTTGATCAAATAATAAAGGAGATAACCAGAAAGACCCTACCAGCTATTCTGAATTACACAACAACAACACAGATGGTGAGACACCTTGAGTACTGCCTCTAATAGAAAGAGCCACTATGTATCCTTCTCAGACAGCATGCCTACAAACAAAGATTTGTGTGTGTATGGTATGTTGAGGGCTCACCTCAGAACTTATACCCTCTATACCATATCTTATCCCTGGCCACATTCTCCACACTGAGGCTGCTGCCTATCAAAACAAGAACCTGCCAAAACTCATTCTTCCTGATTCCCTGCTGTAGATGTTACCTCCTGAGTGTAGTGACCTGCTAATGGAAGAGTATATGAACAACACTGAAGATGCTCAGACCCTCCAAATACAGTACAAGGAAATGATGGCAGACTATTTGTTCGTGATTCCTGCACTCCAAGTAGCAAAGTTTCAACGTGAGTGCATCTGTGATGAGGCCTAGTGGGGACGAGCTCAGAGCAATGGGTCCCATATAAGCTTAATAGTGTCCAGGCCCGCGCTCATGTCTGGGTCACATCTCTGGTACCAAACTCCCGGGACCATTTCATCAGCATTTCTTTATTCTAGTGTAAGAGAGAGGGGAGTGACATCAAGATACAGACAAGGAAACAGGTTGCTGATACTCCATTAATTTGGCAAAACTACTAAGCTGGGAAGGCCAGGATCACTGTTTAGCCAAAGGCTTTCCCATAACTAGTGATCCAGCCTGGGGCCACTCACTTGACAATTATAACACCAGATAACTGTATACCGACATAACTTATCACTAAGGGTTAGGAAGGAAAGTTAAGGTGAGGGAATACTATGTAACCATGTGTCCGAACTTCTAGGTTCCCATGCGTTTGTCTACTTTTATGAATTCTGTCATGTGCCCAGCTACGTCAAAGATGTGAGGCCACCCCATGTGAAAGTTGACCATGGCGATGAGATGGCCTTTGTTTTTGGGTCCTCACCCTTGGACATGAAACGTGAGTCTTTCTTGTGTTTCATGAGCTGGATGGGGTCACAGGTGGGTACCTGATGGGCAACTGAGCTCCGTCCAGTTGAAATAAATCAAGGCTATGGGAGAGGACATAATCAAGTAAGCACCCTTTCCACACTCAAAAAACAATACCCAGATTAGAATCTGGACCCTTCCAAATATAATCTATTGCCTTAGTTACTTTTCTATTGTTGCGATGAGATACTATGATCAAGTTGGCTTATAGAAGAAAGAGTTTATTGGGACTTAGAGTATCAAAGGGTTAGTTAGAGTCTATGACAATCAAGGATGGGAGAATAGCAGCATGCAGGCAGGCAAGGCATTGGAACAGTAGCTAACTAAAAGCTTACATTCTGATCTACAAACACAAGGCAGTGAGAGCTAACTGGACTAGACTGGACTTTTAAACCTCAAAGCCAATTTCCGGTGATACACCTCCTCCAAAAAGGCCATACCTCCTAATTCTTCCCAAACAGTTCCACTAACTGGGGACCACACATTCAAATATGTGAGTCTATAGGATTCATATCATTTGAGCCACCACACCTATGTTAGATGGAATGAGGACACACTGAGCAGAGCTGAACCTGGAGGCATCAATTAGAGGTGTGGGTGGCTCCAGGATCCTTGGTGGTGAAGGAGGAAAAGAGGGCTAGAGTTCAAGGTCAGGCTACAGGAAGGATGGTGATTGCAGAGCGGGAATAGGCAGTTGCATTAGGTGGCTGGGACCTGAACCTCTGTCTTCCCCACAGCTACAGCTGTCTTCACTGAGGAGGAGGAGCTGCTGAGCAGGAGGATGATGAAGTACTGGACCAACTTTGCAAGGCATGGGTGAGAGCACCCCCCTCCCTCAACCTCCCTCCAGTGGTGGGTCCCTATCTAGGGCTCCATTGGTGGTTGATAACTTCATTAGCATGCATGGATAACTCATCACATGATAGAGTCCTCCTCACCCCAGGGCACACTTAGGTACATTGTACATCTTGGTTACTGTTCACAAGGCAATGAGCTATGGTATAGTTCTTTAGATTTTTGCCTTTGAGTGGGAGACCCAAAATTATCCAGGTAGTCTTGCCCCACATGGAACAGACACTCGTAGGTGAGGACACGTGCCTCATCCGTTCCCTCAACTATTGGCCCAATTAGTCTACTACCCTGACAAATTGGGAGAGCACAATGGTGAGCATGATCTTACCATTTCCTGATGGCTGGCATATCCGCAGGAACCCCAACAGCGAGGGTCTACCTGACTGGCCCGTGATGGATGATAATGAGAAGTACCTACAGCTGGACATCCAGCCTGCTGTGGACCAAGCCCTGAAGGCCAGAAGACGGCAGTTCTGGACTCAGACTCTGCCCCAGAAGATCCAGGAGCTAAAGGGGTCTCAGGATAATTACAAAGAGTAGTACCCCGTGAGAGGAATGGTGTTGAGGACTGAATATGCATGGGGTCAGCCGAACATTCTTAGAGAATCCCGGTTAGAGTCTAACAGTCACATCACCTTCCCTTACCTCTGCAATTGTCCATTTGGTCTGCATGTACGACAAACCCTTGGTGTGTCCCTCGGTCCTCAGCATGCTGGGACACCTTTTATGAGACTCCGTGAATGCTCCCATGACTGTAGATGTGTGACCCCTAAGGGCCCCAATCTTCTTTCAGTGTCCCCTGGGACAACGCCCTTTCCTTCCTTTCTTCATCTGCTCTCATCCTCTCTCCTCTTCTCCAAGCCCCAGACAGTCTTCAGATGAAACAGAAGCTTTGGAAATCTTTATTATATGGGAGTGGACTGTCAAAATCCTATGTTCTCTCAGCAAGTCTCATGTCTTCTTATTTGTAAGTGGCCAATAAAGAAACCTAATAGCCAAAGTCCTACCTATTGTTTTCATGTGTTCAGTCAGGTTGTTGTTCCAAAAATTCACAAATTGCAAGCTGAGCTCTGTAATAGGTATCTGTGGATCCTGCAATCAGAGACATAGGCAGAAAGATTATATGATTCCCGCAATTTCGGGTCAGCCTGAGCAACATAGTAAGACCAACATCTCTAAACAAATTATAATCTGGATACCATACAAATAGCAAGAAATTGTATAAATGCTTATAAACCAAGAAATCCACAGTCAAATGCCATCAAATTTGCTTTGTGGTGAGAGTTAGGCCTTTGGCTCAAAAGATTTCACATTGCATCCTCGTTGAATAGAATGAGAAAACGATACTCTTGGATCTTCCCAGAGCCATAACTCTTAATAACATTGGATCAGAAATTAGATTTCAGCAAATAAATTTGATCCCATGGCTTTCAGACCATATCTCATAAAGGTCTCTGACATCAGTCACAAATGATGCCAACTTGTAGTAGTAGGAGCGGAGGGGCTGCGTCCCCGGCGCCCGGCCGCCCGCAAGGCAGCTAGCTTTACCCGAAATAATTACACGGAAACTGTATTCTTTTTTTTAAAATTTATTTATTTATTAAGGATTTCTGCCTCCTCCCCGCAACCGCTTCCCATTTCCCTCCCCCTCCCCCGATCAAGTCCCCCTCCCTCATCTGCTCGAAGAGCAATCCGGGTTCCCTGACCTGTGGGAAGTCCAAGGACCGCCCACCTCTATCCAGGTCTCCTAAGGTGAGCATCCAAACTGCCTAGGCTCCCCCAAAGCCAATATGTGCAGTAGGATCAAAAACCCACTGCGATTGTTCTTGAGTTCTCAGTATTCCTCATTGTCCGCTATGTTCAGCTAGTCCGGATTTATCCCATGCTTTTTCAGACCTGGCCTTGGTGAGTTCCCGATAGAACATCCCCATTGTCTCAGTGTGTGGCTTTCAGACCATATCTCATAAAGGTCTCTGACATCAGTCACAAATGATGCCAACTTGTAGTAGTAGGAGCGGAGGGGCTGCGTCCCCTCGTGGTCCTGAGTTCCTTGCTCGTGTTCCGTCTCCTTCTGCTCCTGATTTGGACCTTGAGATTTCTGTCCGGTGCTCCCATGTGGGTCTCTGTCTCTGTCTCCTTTCAACGCCTGATGAAGGTTAATATTCATGAGGATGCCTATGTGTTTTGCTTTTGGATTCACCTTCTTATTTAGCTTCTCTAGGAACATGAATTATAAGCTCAATGTCCTTTATTTATGGCTAGAAACCAAATATGAGTGAGTACATCCCATGTTCCTCTTTTTGGGTCTGGCTTACCTCACTCAGGATAGTGTTTTCTATTTCCATCCATTTGTATGCAAAATTCAAGAAGTCCTTGTTTTTTACTGCTGAGTAATACTCTAATATGTATATATTCCATACTTTCTTCATCCATTCTTCCATTGAAGGGCATCTAAGTTGTTTCCAGGTTCTGGCTATTACAAACAATGCTGCCATGAACATAGTTGAGCATATACTTTTGTTGTATGATAGGGCCTCTCTTGGGTATATTCCCAAGAGTGGTATTGCTGGATCCAGGGGTAAGTTGATCCCGAATTTCCTGAGAAACCGAAACACTGCTTTCCAGAGTGGTTGCACCAGTTTGCATTCCCACCAGCAATGGGTGAGTGTACCCCTTTCTCCACAACCTCTCCAACAAAGGCTATCATTGGTGTTTTTTATTTTAGCCATTCTGACAGGTGTAAGATGGTATCTTAAAGTTGTCTTGATTTGCATTTCCCTGATGGCTAAGGAAGTTGAGCATGACCTTAAGTGTCTTTTGGCCATTTGAAGTTCTTCTGTTGAGAATTCTCTGTTTAGCTCAGTGCCCCATTTTATAATTGGGTTGATTAGCCTTTTACGGTCTAGTTTCTTGATTTCTTTATATATTTTGGAGATCAGACCTTTGTCAGTTGCGGGGTTGTTGAAAATCTTCTCCCAGTAAGTGGGTTGCCTTTTTGTCTTAGTGACAGTGTCCTTTGCTTTACAGAAGCTTCTCAGCCTCAGGAGGTCCCATTTATTCAATGATGCCCTTAGTGTCTGTGCTGCTGGGGTTATATGTAGGAAGTGGTCTCCTGTGCCCATGTGCTGTAGAGTACTTCCCACTTTCTCTTCTATCAGGTTCAGTGTGTTCGGACTGATATTGAGGTCTTTAATCCATTTGGACTTGAGTTTTGTGCATGGTGATAGATATGGATCTATTTTCATTCTTCTACAGATTGACATCCAGTTTTGCCAGCACAATTTGTTGAAGATGCTCTCTTTTTTCCACTGTATCCTTTTAGCTCCTTTATCGAAAATCAGGTGTTCATAGGTTTGTGGGTTAATGTCAGGGTCTTCTATTCGATTCCATTGGTCGACTTCTCTGTTTTTATGCCAATACCAAGCTGTTTTCAATACTGTAGTTCTGTAGTAGAGTTTGAAGTCAGGGATGGTAATGCCTCCAGAAGATCCTTTATTGTATAAGATTGTTTTGGCTATCCTGGGTTTTTTGTTTTTCCATATAAAGTTGATTATTGTCTTCTCCAGATCTGTGAAGAATTTTGATGGGATTTTGATGGGGATTGCATTGAATCTATAGATTGCTTTTGGTAGAATTGCCATTTTTACTATGTTGATCCTCCCAATCCAAGAGCAAGGGAGGTCCTTCCATTTTCTGGTGTCTTCTTCAATTTCTTTCTTCAAAGACTTAAAGTTCTTGTCAAATAGATCTTTCACTTCCTTGGTCAGAGTTACCCCAAGATATTTTATGCTACTTGTGGCTATCGTGAAAGGTGATATTTCTCTGATTTCCCTCTCTGCTTCCTTATCATTAGTGTATAGGAAGGCAACTGATTTTTTTGGAGTTGATCTTGTATCCTGCCACATTACTAAAGGTGTTTATCAGCTGTAGGAGTTCTTTGGTAGAATTTTTGGGGTCACTTATGTATACTATCATATCATCTGCAAATAACGAAAGCTTAACTTCTTCCTTTCCAATACGAATCCCCTTGATCTCCTTATGTTGTCTTATTGCTATTGCTAGAACTTCAAGCACTATATTGAAGAGGTATGGAGAGAGTGGACATCCTTGTCTTGTTCCTGATTTTAGTGGGATGGCTTTGAGTTTTTCTCCGTTTAATTTAATGTTAGCTGTTGGCTTGCTGTAAATAGCTTTTATTATATTTAGGTAGGACCCTTGTATCCCTAATCTCTACAAGACCTTTATCATAAAGGGGTGTTGAATTTTGTCGAATGCTTTTTCAGCATCTAATGAAATGATCATATGGTTTTTTTCTTTCAGTTTATTTATATGGTGGATTACATTGATAGATTTGTGTATGTTGAACCACCCCTGCATCTCTGGGATGAAGCCTACTTGATCATAATGGATAATTTTTCTAATGTGTTCTTGGATTCGGTTTGCCAGTATTTTATTGAGAATTTTTGCGTCGATGTTCATGAGTGAGATAGGTCTGTGATTCTCTTTCTTGGTTGGGTCTTTGTGTGGTTTTGGTATCAGGGTAACTGTAGCTTCATAAAAGGAATTTGGCAATGACTCTTCTGTTTCTATATTGTGAAATACATTAAGGAGTATAGGTATTAGTTCTTCTTGGAAGTTTTGGTAGAATTCTGCATTGAAACCATCTGGTCCTGGGCTTTTTTTCGAAGGGAGATTTTTGATAACCGTTTCTAATTCTTCGCGAGTAACCGGTCTATTTAGATCATTCACCTGGTCTTGGTTTAGCTTTGGTATATGGTACTTATTTAAAAAAATGTCCATTTCTTTTGTATTTTCCAGTTTTGTGGCATACAGGCTTTTGTAGTAAGATCTAATGATTCTCTGAATTTCCTCTGTGTCTGTGGTTATGTCCCCCTTTTCATTTCTGATCTTATTTATTTGCGTGTTCTCTCTCTGTCGTTTAATTAGTTTGGATAGGGGTTTGTCGATCTTGTTGATTTTCTCCAAGAACCAACTTTTTGTTTCATTGATTCTTTGTATTGTTTTCTGGGTTTCTATTTTGTTGATTTCAGCCCTCAGTTTGATTATTTCCAGTGTTCTACTTCTCCTGGGCGCGTCTGCTTCCTTTTTTTCTAGAGCTTTCAGGTGTGTTGTTAATTCCCCAATGTATGCATTCTCCGTTTTCTTTAAGTGGGCACTTAGTGCTATGAACTTTCCTCTTAGCACTGCTTTCATAGTGTCCCATAGGTTTGAGTATGTTGTCCCTTTATTTTCATTAAATTCAAGGAAGACTTTAATTTCTTTCTTGATTTCTTCCTTGACCCAGGTGTGGTTCAGTAGTTGACTGTTCAGTTTCCATGAGTTTGTCGGCTTTCTGGAGGTAGGATTGTTGTTGAATTCTAACTTTAATCCGTGGTGATCTGATAAGACACAGGTGGACAGTGATATTTTTTTGTATCTGTGGAGGTTTCCTTTGTTTCCGAGTATGTGGTCAATTTTTGAGAAGGTTCCATGAGCTGCAGAGAAGAAGGTATATTCTTTCCTATTTGGGTGGAATGTTC